AAGGACCTGCAAAAAGGTCGTCCAAAAAGAGCGAGAGGAAAAAAAGAGAGAGAACACACACCCACACCCCCCCTAAAGTCCCAGAGAGGGGGGGGGAATGCTGGGAGTTGAAGTCCACTCATCTTAAAGTGGCCACCTTTGGACAACACTGTTTTAAGGCCTTGTAAACTATGAGGCAGCACGCCATGAGGCATCTGCTGAAGGTGTGTCTGAAAAGATTAGTAAAACACGATTGCTGAATCTGTCTGCTCCCAGTTTCTCTGGGATAGTGTTAACGTCAGTCGAAATTAGTTCTTTGACCATGAATTGCTAAAGCATATACGGGATAAGATTCATGCTTGCAAATCTGGAACATTATATACTTATAGAGCAGTGATTGGGTGCAGCTTCCAACTTTCTAGGAGCAATTTTGATTTCATACTATGTTCTGCATAAAACAGGCCATTGTACCAGCCTTTTAAGTGGATCTTTTCAGATCTGGTAGGTGGCTTGGGATCTCAAGTAGGAGCTATTTCGAAGGATACGTGCTTTGGGATTGAGCTGTGGACACTTAAAGCCAGCACAAACAGTTTTCAGGTATCTTGTGGCTCAGCTGACGATTGCTTGAAAAGAAATTTGTGTCACTCAAAAGAATTCCTTCATTAGATTAGACTGTTGCATTGAAAAGGAACTTTTGTGTGATCAACTGACTGCCTTTCCTCTCTGAGATACATTATTTAAAAAGTCAAGAAAACGGTTTGGGAATGTATAATGAAAGTTAGCAGGTGGAATACCAGCCCTTCTTGACTAATTTTGATTCACAGTCTTGAAGGTTAACATTCTGCAAGCAAGTGGAAGCATTGTTCTTGATTGCTCTTGGCCTTCTGTTTAAGATTCTTCAATATTAATGCAGGCAGAAGGACTATTAGGTAGACCTAAATGTTGCTGTATGAGGACCGCAGCCATTTCCTCTGGAAATAAGTATTGGTTCCTACTTTGTTTTTTCACCTTAATGTACAACATTATTTCTGCATCAGGTCCCAGACGGAAGAATCAGGAGTAAGCCTTGCCACATTTACAGCCCAGTGATTGGCTGGTTAATTTCAATGAGTATCTGAAATTTGCAGTCCTCCCAGGAGTTAATGTTACTGCTGTCCCCGTTTATCCTCCTGTAGCACAAAGAATTTTGTCAGGCAGCCACAGTCTGCAGCAAATACCTTCTTCAGTATTACAGTCGTTTAGGGCTTTGGGCTTAACTCAGAAAGGATGTTGCTGGTCAGTATCCTCTGTTTGGTCTGCACATTTACAGATGTTCCATAACCTCACAGTAAGCCAGCCAGTAGATGGTCTGTCACAAAAAAGCAGCAGGCAAAGTGAGTGTCAGTGTTTAGCCTGTAACCTACGTGTGGTCTTAATCCATCTGTTCTAAATAAAATCGGGAAGAAAGAAGAGCCAATATATTTATCGCTCCCATTTGAGAAATACAAATAAATTACCTGATCAAGCAGAAAAACAAATTTTGCTTCTGTAAGGTCTCTGTTTATGAGCAAACTTTCAAGACTCACATGCATTGTTTTCCTTGTGTGTCGGTGCTGCCACCTGCTGTTGTCACATTTATTTCTATTGTGACAACAAATCGTTTTGCTGTCTGGGTGGTTTTGCTCTCCTAGAATACCATCCCTGGAATGTTTCCTCTGCAGAGCAACTGTAGAGTTGTCTCTGTCATTTTAAATAAAGCTGTTGGATTGATTCATCGTGGCACGTAATACAGGAAAGAGGCAAAATGATTCTCAGTCTCTGCAAAAATCCTATTGTACAAAGATATGATTTGAAATAAAAGAAGCATCTATCTCTTCAATAACTGCTGGCTCTGGAGAAGCTCATGGCTGGAGAAAATTAAGGCATCACAACAGCCAAAGTTGGGGGCAGTTTGCTGCCATATGCAACACCACACCTTGCCAGCCAACTGCTGGTGGTTAATGCTTAGCAAAGGAAAAGGTGCTTAAAAGGAAATACTCAATACTACAATATTGAAAATATTCAATTTATTGAAAATACTACAATACTCAGGCAAAAGGATCACTTTTCCCCCCAACCAAACTCCCATATAAGTAGACTCTCTCCAGAGGCATTAGCAGGGAGGGTCAAGAAGGTCAAGATGGTGAACGCAAGTGATAGAAGCCACAGACCTTTCCCAAGTGTGTGCAGTAATACACCTACAGTATTAAAAGGGGTGGAGCTTCAATCAGGTGCATATGTCCATCAACCTGATTTTTTTTATTGGCCCCACAAATGTACCTACTCCCTCCTATGTAGGGACCAACAGAAATGAATGTATAAAATTTGAATTAGCACAACGAATCAGCTCACATCTGCGCTCTTCTCTCCCCTACCTCTGACAAAGAAGAATCTAGTGCACAAAAATTATGCCCTGATAAATGTTTTAGTCTTTAAAATGCCATAAGATTTGTCATTGTTTCTCTCCAAAGGATGTATGTCGAATGTCTCCCTTTCAAGATGGATGTGATGGGCTAGGAAGGCACACTGAGTGTTATACATCATAAAGGAATTTCTGCTGTAATGTGCAAACCAGATAAAGGACACTCCAACTGACCTTAGCATTATTTAATAGTTTTACTCTTCAATGGCTGCCACCCTGTGCCCATCAGTGAGGTATAATTCTGAGTAAACATGCGTATGACTGGCCTCTCAACCAGTCATCAACTCCAGCTCTTTAAAAAAATATAGAATGGGGCAAAGACTCAACATGAGAAAAGGCCCTGCACGTTATTAGTGTTACTGTCCTGGGAGAAGTGCTTGTCTAGACACTTTGGCAATCAAGTTGTACATGGAGCTCTAAAAACCCAGGATATATCTCAAGGTCATAGAATCATTTTTGCATTTTGTTGAGGGATCTCCATTTTAATAGCATGATCAGTTGAAAAGAATATCAGTATACTTTTTCTCATAAAGGAGCAGGAAAACAAAGTAAGAACTGAAAATATCAGTGGGTTTTCCTCCAATTCTCCTAATATCTTGATTCGTATGGTGTGGCTAGGTCAGAATTGTTCCACAATTTCAATTCAGTATTTTGCCCCTTGATTCTGGTATAAGCTTTGAGGGATTTCTCACTCTTTTGTGTCAATTACGCCAGCTTTTTTGGTCTCCTGGAATTACAGATTTGGATGTTTTAGTCACACTTCTCACCCCCCACTCCCACCCCACTCCAGTAATGCTGGATTTACACAATTGCACTTAAGCAGCTCTGTTTCAATTCAACAATGTGTGGGCAGTTTTGATGTTTGTTAGTTTGATCTATACAAGGGAATCTCAAGAAAAAAATGTAAAATAGCCAGGTTTAGCTTCTAGAAATAAAACTTTGTAGAAGAATCTAAGTGGCTGGAATGAATTGATGCCCAGGTGTAACTGCATAAAGACCTTTGATCATGAAAGTAGGAAGACAGGGTAAGTAAGAAATGAGACAGTTCTGTGCTTCTCCCCAGATGGGTTGTTAGAAGATGCATATCTCTTTAACAAAACATACTACGAGATTTAGGACAAGAGGAGACAACTCTGAATAACTCTAACCCATCAGAAAACATTGCTTCCCTGAATAATAGCCAGTGGCAAATGACATGGAAATACTGCTGGTCTGTTTGAATGCTTAGATTTGCCATACCTTGTTATTTACATTGCAGTGTGGATATAGATGTACATAAAGTGTGCATATGCTGATTTATATCTCTAGATGGACATGTAGTAAAAATGACTGTAATTTAAATAGAGATGCAGTGTAACACACCACTGTAGAAATGGTGACTGAATAACCTGTGCAGGTGCTCATAATGAAGGGCCTACTAAGACTATCTTACAGTTCCTTATACTGGATGGGATGGTCTTTAAGTAGAGGATTCTTTAAAACAGTAGGACCCATGCCCACCATCCTGAGCTGCCCTTGGGTTCTTGTGTGTCCATTAACACTGTATCCCAGGCCATAAGGATGTTAGAACTTATAACATTACACAAATGTTCTACTAGAAGTTGTGGGTCAGTAGATGCTTGAAAGTTGAAAGGTGTATGAAATGCCCATTTTCTTTTAATACATGATTTTCTTCTGCATGTAGCTTTTGTATTAATTGTTCCATTGCCTTTAAATTTCCACCATACCTTTTCCTTTAGGTTTTCTGGAAAGGGTGGGGGATAATCTGCCTTTTGTTTTCTGTTATTACCATCATCATTGTCATATCATCCTCATTTTTCAACTTTTCTTTTTTTTTTCTTTAACTTTTTTTCTCTGACAGATAAAAGATTTGTAAGCGAACCCAAAAGTCACCGTAAGTCTCCATTTCATAGTCATTTTTTTTCATTGGTCTACATTCAAGTGATTGGATAGCACTGGGTTGGGTTTTTTTAATAAGCATTTGTCCCTCCTTGATGTCAAAGTACTCCTGGAGTAGCTTCTTTGAAGGGATAGTTCTTCATAGCTCTGGAGGATCAAGAGGGACAAATACAATTGAAGGAAACGTTGGAGATGCAGCCATAAAACCCAATGGACTTTGCAGAAACTTTGCACTTTGGAGACCCAATGGACTTTGCAAAAAACAACTGGGATTTATTTTTAAGAGTCAAAAGCATTTTACTTTAAATTTGGTAGCTAAGGTACAGTGGTTTTCCACTCGTTGAAATTCAGTTATTAAAGGTCATACCCACCAGAAGAAAGAGAAATGCATGTCTCTTGCCCTCAATATTTCCCAAAATGCTCACTTTAATAATTCATCTCTTTAGTCCCTTCATTTATTAAAAAGGTGATAATAATGCTCCAGTTAACGGCTCAATAAAAGATGAAGTGTCTATTGCTGAGGCCATGATTGGAAAAGCACCGGAATGATTGAGAGAAAGTAGTAAATAATCTTAATTATCTTTGCACTATTTATGATTATAATGGGAGTAGCTGGACATCCCCCCCCCCTCCCAGATTAGAGAAAGGCCTCCCACTATGGAGAAGAAACTCTAACATCAGAGTTTTTTTCTTCTGGCTTCCTGCCACTTCCAGGAAACTCCTGCATTGGGCAAAAAACGGAGTATGATAAGACTTGAGTCCCAGGTGGTTCTAAACCAGTTTTCTTCCTTTTCTTGCAAAAACATGATTGGGAAGGCAGAAGA